TGGTGTAAATCACAAGAATGTAAATGTGTTAATGTTCTTTAGGGGTACAGTGCGACCATACTACACCCACCAACATTCTGGCATGCTTGCATCACTGCTTATTGGATCCTTTTAGCCTTCTCCTTGCCTTTTATTAACCACAATCCAGTGGTCTGAATCTAAGGGTTCTTTCCCATTAGACATTATTCCCTTCCTTTGGCTTCTTTATATACCACCTATTGGTGAAATCTTCCAATATTTGTCCTTCTGACTTATTTTACTTAACAAGACACCCTGCAGTTCTGTTTGTGTCATACCCAAAGGCAGAGTTTTATCTTTTCTAAAGGCTAAGTAACATCCCATTGTATAAATATGCCACATTTGCTTTATCGACTCATCAGTCATTGAGCAATTGCATTGTTTTCCGAACCTTAGCAATTGTAAATAGGGTGCAAATAGGGGGCACCTATATTCATTGCATTGATAGTTTTTCAAAATAATGTTGTGAATCACTGGCTCATAAGGTAGATCCACTCTAATTTTTCATCAAATTGCCATACTATTTTCCATAGAGACTGCATCAATTTACATTCCCACCAACAGTGAATGAGTTTCCTTTTTCTCCACTTCCCCCTCTGGCTCCAGTTTGTGGTTTCTGGTCTCTCTGACAAAAGCCATTTCATTAATGTGTGGCAGTATCTCAACTGTGATTTTGTATATTCACTATGAAAGCAATCTAAATTTCAGTGTCCAGATGTTAGATTAAGATCATGTGACAATCCCACCTCAGGCTCCAGAAACTTAAAAGGTATTGCAAAATATACATATAATTAAAATATTTTATAATAGGCCAAGCTTGCCATGAGGGAACAGAAATCTCTAGATGTCAGAAAACCATGGCATGAGGAGGTATGAAACTCCCTATGACACTAGCTGGAGCTCTGAGTGGGAGGGGCTGCTTTCAAAACCCAACAGCTTCAGACCCAAACAGGCAGAGCACACAGGCATGAAAAGAGCTGGAACTAGGTTCCCTTTGTGAAGCCTAAAAACTGATGAGCACATATGGAAGGGCCTTGGTTTGTATAATCAATCAGCGGCAAAGAGCTAGAATGTCAAGTTGAAGCATAATGTAACAGCTTTTACTTCCCAAAATTATTCAGAAAGAGACAAACACATAAACACCTCATAAATGGCCTCTATGCCTCAAGGCACGTGTAGCAAACTGTTCCCAAGATAACTCACCCCTTTGTCAAATAAAATTTCTCTCAAGTGAGAGGAGCAGGAGCTGGAAAGAGTAGAGTGGGTAGGGCACTTGCCATGCATGCAGTTAACCCAAGTTAGACCCCTTGGCACCACATATAACTTCCTCCCTGCCCCAAATGATTCCTCAGTGCAGAGTCCGAAGTAAGCCCTGAGCTTTGCTGGGTATGCACCCCTCCTCACACCAAACTAAAATAAACAAAGAGTGAATTGACTAGCTTTCTCTCTCACACACAATAAAAATAACTTGATTGTTTCTACTCCATTGTATTAAGATACCCTTTCTTTATCCAGAATCCTACTAATGAAAAAAGTTGGCCATTTCCAACATTTCAAAAAAAAAATTGCTAAGATGATCATAGTCCCGCAGCTCTCTTTGCACATCGGAATTATTATCTCCATAGGTCAAGTTTCTAGAAAGGAAACTTTTGACTCCCAAACTTCACACATTTGAAATTTGATAACTGGGCCAGAGAGCTTGCTCAGCAAGCTGAAGCGCATGTCATGCATGCAAGAGATGGGTGACACTGCATACTCCCCTGAGCACTGCCAGATATTTCTCCAAACCAAAAAGTAGTAAGAAAACTTGATAACTACTATCAAACTGTCCTCAGGAAAACTGTACCTATGAATATCACTGAATGGTTTTAAGTTCATGCATTTCTAGTCAAGAGAATTGAATTTTTTTTTTAAGTTTAGAGTAGATCAAGCTAATGGAAATTCAATTATTTAACCCAGGTAAAAAGGTTAAATTCCCACAATTCCACTGACTCTCTAAATAAAATAAAGTGAACAATACATTGTGTCTAGAGCTGCACAAATACATTCACACCTTCAGTGGCATATTAGTGTCAGGGTATGCAACACTATGAGTCTGCAGTAATGACACTATTTTACTCTTCACTGTTCTTCCCAGCCCCCAGCAATCATCTTGTGATCAAGTTCTCCCAAAATAAGTGAGTACTTGCTCCCAGTTTTATTAAAACTGTTACCCTTCCCTCAAAAATTGCAATGCAACATGAAAAGACTCAGTATGTGCTATTTTTTAATACATTTGTTTTGGAGAGTTGACTATAGATGAACTGGATAAACTGAATGGATCTTATCTACAATATATGGTCTACTTCTGAAATAAAAAAGGTTAATTACAGAGTTAGTACATTCTCCTTAAACTCAGTTTCCAGCTAAGTCAAATAAAGTTGCATAGAGGCAATGGTCAGTGCTACTGACATAAAAAAAGAAATCAGGACTGACTACAATAGCACATATTTCAACTAACACAGAAGTGATCATTTGAAATTTTTTAAAGTGCCATTTTTGAAAATCAGATAATCTGAAAAAGTTAATTAAATCTGAGTTAAAATCAGACAACTATCAAAAATTATAGGTTTTTTTTTTTTCAGAATGGGAGTAGAAAACCCAAGAATAGTTGAGATAAGTACCAGGAGGTCTGCTCCAGGGCTTGGAAGCCCACAGCACATGCTGGGGGGAAAGGCAGCTCAGACAGAGAAGGGAACACCAAGTAAAGGATGTTTGGAGGACTCGCTTGGGATGCAAGATGAATGCTGAAAGTAGACTATAGACCGAACATGATGGCCACTCAATACCTCTATTGCAAACTACAACACAATGAAGGAAAGAGTGAGCAAAAGGGAATGCCCTACTACAGAGGTGGAGTGGGGTAGGGGGGTAGGGGTGTGGGGGAGGGAGGGCTACTAGGATCATTGGTGGTGGGGAATGGGCACTGGTGGAGGGGTGGGTACTCGATCATTGTATAACTGAAACCCATGCACTAAAGTTTGTAAGTCTACAACTATACCTCATGGTGTTTCACTAATAAAAAAATAATTAATTAATTAAAAAACTATAGGTTTTTTTGTTCTCTTATTTCCTTCTCATTTTAAGCATTCTTTTGAAAATATCTTATCCGGAGTTTCTTCCTACTTCAAAATGTTCCTTAAGACATTTTCCTCCACTTTTTCAAGATGCTATATGGCATCACAAATTGGAAAGGTTTTGCTCTGAAGAGAGGGCTCAATTATTTCCGACTTCACTAAAAGCACACTTCAACAACCAACCAGCAGCCTATGAGGTGCAATTTTTAGTTAAAATGCCTGAAACACAGAGAGATAGTACAGCACGTTAGGTGCTTGCTTTGCATGCTGCAGCCTGGGTTCCATCCCAGGCATCCCATATAGTCTCCTGAGCACCTCCAGGAGTGATTCCTGAGTGTAGAGACAGGAGTAACTCCTGAGAATTGCCAGGTGTGACTCAAAAACAAAAATAAAAGTTTGCAATATTTTCCCAACTACGTACATATAGAATGCACAATGCCTTCATTTTCAATTACAAATAAAGAAGACTACAATCATGTCAATTATTTACAGTTGTATATAAAACCAAGAATAATTGCATTTTATTTTGGAAAGCATTGGGAGGATGTAGAGAGGAGTGATTTCTTTGTGTGTGTGACAACAAAGTGACCTTTCAATTCAAGAATTTTCCTTGAATGATTGTGCTTCCCAAGTCATACATATATTCATCCAACTAAATAAAACATTTTACAGAAAATGCCCTCACAGGGAATGCACTTGGGAGAAACCAAATGCAATGTACCAAATGCCAGTTCTCTCAACTTCCAAAAGGCAAACACTAATATGAACAACTTCAAATTCATGCCATCAACACAAACATCTTCACTGACTGCATATCAAACTTCACATCGAGTTAATTTCATAGTGGACAGACGTTCAAAGAATCTGTCATTATTAAGAGAAATCCCTTACCCTTTATTCCTACTTCACCAATGTGTCTTTTGTACTAAAAAGAACTAGGAACTCTGTAGGAAAAAATAATCAGATATTCATTAGAGTTCTGTTTAGTCTGATCTACCTCAAAAATTGTTTTAGGGATAAAATAAGTCAGTACAATAAGAGTCCTTCAGAGAGAGAACAAAAGGAAATTCCCTGCCACAGAGGCAGGGTGGGATGGGAGGGATGGGGGTGGGAGGGATACTGGGATCCGTGGTGGTGGAAAATGGTCACTGGTGGAGGGATGGGTATTTGATCATTGTATAATCGAAACCCAAGCACAAAAATTTGTAAGTCTACAACTGTATCTCATGGTGTTTCACTAATAAAAATTAAAAATATATATATAAACCTGAAAAAAATAAGAGTCCTTCATATAGTTTCTGAGATATAGATTTATATTTTCAGTGTCAGTTATTAATTGTATTTATCAGTAAAAGCCTCGTTTTTAAGTAGCAAGTCTTTGTTTCTTTGTTGTTGAATTTTGTCTGAAAGGGATACTGAAAATAAATCCAGATCTTCACATATGCAAAGTATGTATTCTACCACCTTCACAAGCATGGTATTACTTATTTTCTCAATCTGTTTGGGTGTGTAGTTTTTATGATACCCATTGTATGGAACAAGAATCTGGGGCTCAGAAAATCACATGTCTTACCCGCCCTCATAAAACTGTACCGCTGAGCCTGGAAATCCAATTTTCAGCTTTAATTCCAAGATGTTTTTCTCAGTAGTCCATACGATCACTTGGAGTGTCAATTTCTGAAACTCAGTTTAAATTCCACTCCACAGGGATGCAATCAACATTTATTACCTATCATCATTAAGTGGTGTTCTTTTAACTAAGGATAGAGGAGTAATTAGTGAAAGCATCACTTCCTTGTAACTGGACTACAAAATAATCAATGCCACAACTTCAGAATCGCCTTAATTCATTGTATTACCACCTACCTTCGCCGTCTCAGCTTCTGTCTGCAGTCGCTTGGGGGTTCCTTTTTGGTCAAGCACCTTCTGGAAGTTTTTGTTTTTAATGGATTGAGATTCAACACCTTCACCTTCAATTTGCAGTTTAATACCTTCAGCACGGGGAGAGTGATCAATACCCCGTGGATTCAAACCACAGTGGAGCGCTAGAAGGGAGAAGCAAATATATATAACTTAGAAGACACATCATATAAAAATGGTGTCCATGACAGATAATATTTCATCGGGTCTGTGTGGGAAGAAACAAGGCATGTATAAATTGAGCGAGCGAGAGTCCATGATGGGAAGTAATTTGGCGAAGGGTGAGTATAAGAAATGCTGAACTGGGAAGTCAGAACAGCCAGGAAGCATCAATTCCAAATAGTATGACTTTGAGAAAGGTAATATTAATCCTTACACTATGAATGAGAATATCAAATCAGGCAAATTTATTATTACCTCTCACAAAAAATGTTCCATTTTTCTCTAAGAATGTGCTTAATTCCTCCCCATCACCCCATCCGGCAACCACACCTTGAATCAGCATCATTCAATCATCCATTTAAATTCATCTTCTTGCATTCACTCAATAAGTAACTCAGCCAACATATTCTGTGTCTTCCTAGGCTAGACCCTGGAAAAATGGGTCCAGATCGTATGGCAACGCACTCACAATCCAATAGGAGAGGCAGGCAAATGAAGTACATATAAATTGTTATTACTATCAGACCTAGCACCTTCAGAGTTTTATCTCTTACCTCCCCATATCCCATAGCTTGGATACACCAACAAAATATCATTCCCATTTTCTGGGACAATTTATTCATTAAACATACACTTATTGAGTCTCTCCCATCCATGCCTCCAAGTGTTTGGAAGAAAAAGTGAATGTTCCAGAAACCAGACATAAAATCTGGGGTGCATGAGTGCGTGGGTACACATGTAGCACACAAGGTATATTTGTATTTTAATTACGTTAGTCATTAATCCTTAGCTCCTTGTGACACAATCCTACAAAATGAGTTGAAGTCTGTACCTCCCCCCTTTTGTCCTCAGGGTTTAAGAAAATCAACCCCCCTTTCATTGCTATTAGGTCTCTATCATTGACAGTAGCCTCTACCCAACATCTTCTATTTCTTCCATTCCAGGCATTCTTCTCTGCAGGAAATGACTACCATTCTAAAATTCTTCCCTCTGTCCAGCACCCCCTTTACGTTGGTAGTCCTCCCTTGAACAGGTCTCTGAAAAGAATATTTTATACCAGCTGGCTAGGGTGGGGATTCCCATAAACGTGAAGTCCATTCTACCCATTCTCTTCTCCCTCCTTGAAAGGTGCCATCCATTCCCAGGTTTTTAATTGAATCTACATAACAGTAACTCAGATTTTAAACTAGCCTAGGCAGAATTCAAATGAGCTTCAGGCTTTAAAAAGATCCCAATTTCAATGAATATGCTGATACATTAAAGATACTGGATACATTAAAGATACCCAGGTTCAAAACTAAGACCAGGAGCTAGGATGCTTGTACAACAGGCAAGGCACTTGCCTGCATGTGGCTGACCTTGGTTCAGTCTGTGGCATCCCAAATGGTACCAGAGTCTGCCAGAAGCAAACCCCAAGAACCTTTGAATGTGGCCCCAAACAGAGAAAGCACAAAAACTAAGCCCAGATTTTTTTTGTTTGTTTTTTGGGGGGGTTCACACCTGGTGATGCTCAGGGGTTATTTCTGGCTCTGCACTCAGGAATTATTTCTGGCAGGCAGTGCTCAGGGGACTGACAATATGGCATGTGGGGATCAAACCCAGGTCAGACACATGCAAGGCAGATGCCCTACCTGCTGTACTATTGCTCTGTCCCGATTGTTCATTTAAAGATAATTCACCTTTTCTTTCAGGGTGATTCAACAGAATTTAGTTTCCTTTGGCACACTCTCAATGACTCTTCTTTCCCTTTCATCCAACACCAGATACTATAGGCACTATACCCCCCAAATATGCTCGAATCCTTACACATCATGGTCCCCCAGTGCCATCACCTTGGTCCAAGCTCCCCACACCTTAAATTTGCATCACTCTCTGGCCCCATTTTACATTCCAAACTTCCATCTGAAACTCTGTATACATCCCCTCAGGAGGTGGTTCTGCTCTAAACTTTCTGAAGGCTTCATTTTACACATAGATCATTCAAATATCTTTAACGTGCTCAATGTGGCCTTGAAGCGTGCAGCCCCTTTGTGCCTGTTCAGCCTCATTTCCCACCACATTATTTCTTGTTCACTCCACCCAGACCACATATCTCCTTTTCACTTCCTTGAATACTCCTATTTCTTTCACATCTGGTCTTTGCACATTATCCTCCATGGCCTGAAAGGTTTCCTTTCATTCTTTAATTCAACTATAAATATGACAGAATTTGAGGTATGTCTTTCCTAATCAACTGCCCCATCCCCACCTTTTGTCTCTAGCCTATTTAAGACCACTACCTGGCTCAAACATCTTTTAAGTATTAAGCCAATGAACTTGAAACTGAATTTTTATTTTGGACAAAGGTTGATATTCATGTGGCTGTATTTATACCATTTTCTATGGGAATTATCTGAATTTTCCATCTAGTCTCTATGCTTTCCAAAATGAAGAGCCACCTACTTCATAATGCATAGTGAAGATTCAACATTAGCTCATGTTCTCAGAGTTTCCATTAAATCAGAAAAATGAAGATTATTATAACCATTTCATAGATGAGACAGAAAGTTCTAGTCACCAAAATGTCATGCAGTAACTGTTGAAGGTCACAGAAATCACATACTAGTTAGGATGAACATGATTTCAAGTTTAAAAAATTAAAAAGTATCAAAGAGATAAAAATTCGCTTTCAGAAAGAACTGCAATGAAATAGCTGGCTGACGTATCATAGTGCCATAAAGAAACTAATTTTTTTATCTTTCCACTCTACTATCCATAACCTCATCCCTTTAAAAAATTGAAAAAAAAATAATCACAGTACCAAATATAATCTCAGTATCTGTACTGCAAACCATAAAGCCCCAAAATAGAGACGATGGGAGAAATAGAGGCAGGGGAAAAAGTGAGATGGGAGGGGGACAATACTGGGACACTGGTGGTGGAAAATGTGCACTGGTGGAGTGATAGGTGTTCGATCATTGTATGACTGAAACTCAAACATGAAAGTTTTCTAACTATCTCACAGTGATCCAATAAAAAAATTATTTTTAAATTAGTCACTGTGAAATTACAAAGTTATTCATGATTGGGTTTCAGGCATACGATGTTTCAACACTGATACTTCACCAGTGTCCACTTCCCTCCACCAATGCCCCACCTTCAACCTGATTTGCCTCCCCCCACTAGTCTGCGATGAGAGCTCTATTTTTAAAAATATATATTTTTGCACTGTGGTTTACAATACTATTAGTGACAGGGTTTCATACATAACATTTTACCAGCTTTCAGCACCACTTCCTCCTCCCTATTGATCGCTTCCCTCCACCATAGATGTGGGTCCCCCTCGCCATCTTATTCCCCAGCCCCTTCAAGTGGCATGTTTCCTAAAGAACACAAGAACTGGCATTTAATAGGAAACATAACCTAACCTTTATTCAAAATCTCATGACACCTAGGCTTACAAAGCTTCTGGCTCTATTAAAGAGAGTTTGGCTGACCTCAATTCTCTTCCAAATGCTCCTTTTTCCTCTTTGACCTAAAGGTAAACCAACCACCCTATTCAGAACTAAAACCCTGGTGGTGTTGCCAGAATTACTAGTTCAAAAGCCACATTATTGCTACGGACCAGAGCAGTAGCAGGAAGAATGATCAAAAATCAGCCACACTGTCCAATTCAGACAGAAGCAGAGAGTAAAACCTGTGAGAGCATGATGCTAATTACTGTTCACCTTAAGTATCATCCCCATCTCCAAAGAATAGCCTATTCAATTACACATACTAAATTTTGATTAGTGAGAAAATGTTTTCCTACATAGCGAGAGGGAGATTTTCATGGAACAGATTTAGACATTAGTGAGAAAAAGAAAAATCGTAGAGTTCTGATTTTCCCAAACAGCACAATCTCTTGGACTATATCCTGTCCTGAATCTCATGGCCTGTGAATCTCACTGAACGGATGGGCAGATTTCAGTAGTTAAATCCTCACTTAATGTCCTTGATAAATTCTTTTAAATTGGGTTTTCTTGGTGTTTTGTCAAAAAGTGGTCGTGGCCATAATGTGAAGTTTAAAAAAAAAGTAGGCAATATGGTTGTTATATCATTGATACTTATGGCTTTAATGTAAAAAAAAAAAAAAGCATTGCAATTCTCCATGTAAAAGCCCAAGACATTCTGGCACTAATTTTATATTGTTTCTAGTCTGCCTCTTATTGGTATCTCTCCTGGTGGGGCTCAGGAGACCATATGGGGTGCCAGGGATCAAACGCAGGCCAGAGGCATGTGAGGCAGAACTCTCTCTCAGACTCCAGAACTGGGTGATTAAACAAAAGGATGGATGTGTAATGAAGGGACTAAAATAACATTTCATTCAACATCCACTGCAGTACTTCGCATCAATTTTTTTTTCTGCTTTTTGGATCACACCCGGCAATGCATAGGGGTTACTCCTGGCTCTGCACTCAGGAATTACTCCTGTCGGTGCTTGGGGGACCATATGAGATGTCAGGGATTGAATCTGGGTTGGCCGTGTGCAAGGCAACTGCCCTACCCACTACACTATAACTCCGGCCCCTCATCAATATTTTAATGAAACAACTTACTCAGGTACTACTGTTACTTCTCACAACTCCTCCCAACCAAATCAGACTCTTATACTTCCTTTGCTTATGCTGACTTTTCCTAAGAGAGGTTTTACTTCACCCACTCCTACCTTCTTGGGAAGGCAAATTCCTATCACCAGGACCACATGTTGGCTCTGACCTTTCCTGTGGAAAACTTTCTGGAGTACCACAATGGGAAGCCTTTGGCTCTGTTCCCCAACACAGACAGTAAGCAGTACTTTGTCTCCTCACTTCACCGAGGAGGTCCTCCCAAACTGTCTGTTTTTCTGCAAGCACTAGGGTAGGAAAGGTTAAATCCTCCAGGATCTCCATACCCAACCCCACACTGAAGGTATTTAAGAAACACGTTTCAGCTGCTGAAAGAA